GAGTATACATTGTACCGGAATTCATGCCATGATGTAAAATTCTAATGAACTTTTATTTTGCCGATGCCACAGTAGCTCGAGAGATCAGGCTTTGTTGTCCAGACCAATGTCAGCAAATATCAGCAGTTGCGTGAAGAGAAGAGATATCTATTTTTTTATGATAAAGCCGCAACAGTCATACGACTATAAACAATCGACTTATATAACGTCTGTCTCTTATACACATCTTGACCTAAACTATGATTTATTTCTCCAAAACATATGATGGTTGTCACTAAAACATTCCTTTCTGTTTCAGGTATGTTTTTCACAATCTTTTTTTATAGTAAATTCACTTAACCCAATCAAAATGTTGTGAAATTACAAGCCATCTTGTAAGCTTACAGATACAGAAAAAATGCTATATGGCTGCTGATATGAAGCTTGCAGTGGACAAGGTTGTTGTTAATGCTCAATGGCATGTTCATGGATATGGTAATATTGCATCAATAATACGATAATGTCACATCAATAATACGGTAATTAATGTAAGGGCAATATCATATCAATACAGGAAAAACAAGTAAAAATCACAGAAAATGTCATTTATTCTACCTCTACATCATCTACAATGAAAGAGAATGACTTCAGAGTACTGTTAGTAATGGATGAGTACGCTCTGCATGCTTCAAATATTTTAAAATGAAGTTTTATTCCCAGTGTCCTGAGTAGCCCCGTTCGAGGGGGCTACTCGGGACACTTTTTTTTTGCTTCTGGCACCTTTCGAATAGCATATGAAATTTTTTTGAAGATGCCATTCGATAGCCCTCGCAAAGAGCTATAAAATGAGCCTAAACTTGTTTATGAAATGTTTCATCATAAGAAATTATCAACAAAAAACGCTCAAAACCGTCCCGAGTAGCCCCGGTTGACGGTAGTATTAGATACACCTTGCAGATTACAGATGGTAACAGACCCTATTTTTTTTGGGTAAGGGGCTGCATGGACTCGCCGCCATGGAGTCATGGACTAGTACCTATCCAGATTCCAGTGCTCCTATGAGAAGAAACAAATAAAATAAGTTATAGTAATGTCAAGTGGGCAGCTGTGCAGTGTGGCAGTGTTCGCCACCACTTGTGTCATCAGACAGCTATGGGCCATGGGATGCATTAATTTTTTGTGAAGTGAATTTTATTTTGATGAGCAAGTTAAATGTCATCGAAATTTGTTATGATTAATAAATGTTTTCATTAAATGGAGCCTATGCTAACAAAGGTTCTACTACTGTAAATGCATATTTAGAGGTGTCCCTTATTACCCATCTTGTGGAAATGTCTGCCATTTCCTTTGGATTGAGCTTTTCAAATTCTACCAATCATGTTTTTAAGCCAACACCTGTGTGCAACTTTTTTGCAGGTAAAATTTTTTAATACGGCCAATATTTTTTTCTTTGCTACAGACCTTAGCACACTTCACACTTTTTTTCAGGAGGGATTTTTTAAAGGTACCGTAAAATGGGGTTACTTCGACTCCCGGGGTAACTTAGACCACTTTTAGTTTTTTAACAAAAACCCCCAAAACTTGAAAATTATTTAACATGGAAAATTTTTGTCAATGGTCATCAAAGGCCTAATACTGACGCTACGTAACAATAGAAAGATTTAAGAAGTTTGCATATCTAATAGGTTAAAAAATGAAAAATGTGACCCACAAAAAAGAGCTATTATTTAAAGCCTGTTGGAGTACCACCTCCAATTTTTTTATTTTTTTGGTAAAATAACTCCAGGTTTTGGTGCATTGTAGTAGAACCAACTCTTCTAGTTACATATGCAAATGACAAATTTGAAGACAGTGTCATAGTTTGCAAACGGGGTGCACCACCCCCGAATGGGGGAACTTAGACCACCTAATGTCAGCCCTGACAGGGGTAATTTATTTAAAATTACCAATTTACCATACATAACGTATTTCATGTTTGATACACCTATTAATGTTTTTTCTTAATGTTTCAAACTCTACAGAGTATTATATATACCTAGTAATTTTAACTTAATTTCCAAGCTGGTCAATATTACCTACTCCTTCACGGCTGACAGTTGGTCACAGTTCCCGCATTCAGGTCCCAGGGGTGGCGCCCCTATTTACAAACTATGACACTTTCCTCAAATTTGTCATTTGCATATGTAATTAGAAGAGTTCTACTACAATGCACCAAAACCTGGAGTTATTTTACCAAAAAATATAATTGATTTTACAACCCAGTCTAAGATACCCCAAGAGCTGGGGTAACAAAGACCATCACTTTTTTTTGAAATTGCATAAAAACTATGAAAGGCAGGAGCCAGCAATTTATGGTGAGTGAACCTTGAGTATAGACCTGCATTTTGCATGTTTCAATTTAAGTTTAATTTAGCTAGTAAAAAATGGCATCATTTAAAAAAAAGTAGTCTAAGTTACCTACCCCATTTTACAGTGCCCAGTTGGTCCCTTATTACCCTATTTGATGGTAATTGGGAAAATAATCAGGATGCTTAAATTGGTTATTCATGTAGAAATCAACTAATTATTTTTTAAAAATTAAAATCATATGAACATTGAGCTCATTTTGTATATATGTGACCATCAGAAGCAGAAGCTTAGTTTATTTTCATTTTATGTACCAAAATATTTTTCTGCCTCATGTAAATTTCATCCTCCACCCATGATTCATAAAAATATCAATTAGTAGTACTACCTATGTGTTAAAAAAATTGGATGCAGCCTGATTTTTCTTGGACTTGTAGAATGTGTTATCTATTTGCAGCTGCACATATCTTAACATTTGCAGAATAATCATTTCACCTATTATGCGTTTAAGCCACGATGGGCTTTTTATTATGCAATTAAGTTAGAAATGTTGCTCCTCCCTTAGCCAAAGTTTTCTATCTAGCCTAGGGCTCACACTTTCCTTGCCAAAAATTTGGGTGAATACCGTATTGTAGAAATTTTCTCCTATAACAACAAATATTAAAAGAAATCTGAAATACTGATATACCTATACCCCTTAATATTACTATGCAATTTCCTGTCAATTGAGGATTTTTTCTATCAATTGGGTGCACTTGATGTTGATCATAAATATATAGATGTGTTTAGGAGACAGATGGATTTTTATCTTAATGGACACTTGAGACCTTATCTTGGCTGCAGGAGCAAGTTTGTTGCTCCAAGTAGAATGGTGTATGGTGTACGTGACATCTTAATCTATCTATTGGGTGCACCTGATGTTAGATCATAAATGTATAGATGCATTTAGGAATCAGATGGCTTTTATCTTCACAGACACTTAAGACCTTATTGTAGCTGCAGGAAAAAGTTTGTTGCTCCTAGTAGAATGGTGTACGTGACAGCTTAATCTCTTAATCAATACCTTGGCCTTGGAACCTTATCAATTTCAAGTGCCTTCTCTGGTTATCTTAAGCATACATTGTACATGAGCATCCAAATGACCAGTAATGTCCAATTACACTTCTGATCTCTTGAAGGACTGATAATAAATGTTTGAATAGGTCTGTGATTGAGATCTGTCATGACTTCTTAATTGATGACTATTCTAGCTGGTCATATAGTAGTCATTTAGGCTCCATTAGGCTCCTGAGGTCTCGATCAGTCAGGCAGTTATTAACTTGCCATTTTAATGTAGGTATGTCATGAATTTCTTAGTTAGCATCAGGTCTGAGAATTATACCTATCCATATTAGGTGTAGAAAAGTGATAAGGCAGTATTTGTATGGTGTATGAACCAGAAAAATGCATTCAAATGTTTCTCAAGTATTGAACTAAGAGGAAATAATAAAATTTTATGTTAAAGACCATTGTATCTAGGAAAAAGCAAATGGATTATAAATTAAAATGCAATGATAAGCTGGACAAGATAGAATGTCTTCTTGCTGAATAATCCTTAGTAGGTACTTATACCTATTATATGATTTATTAAAATCTTTAACCATGGGTATACCTGAAACAGAAAAGAATATTCTAGTGACAGCCATCATATTTTTTGGAGAAATGAATCATAGTTTAGGTTAATTACCAGGGTTGGCGATTTTTTTGATTTTTTAAAAAAAATCAAAAAAATCAATGATTTTTTTGATTTTTTCATGATTTTTTTGATTTATTTGATTTTTTTGATTTTTTAAACTTTTTTGTATTTTTGAAGTGTTATTTTTTATGTTGCAATTAGCCTACTAACAATAACAGTATATGGATCATAATGGATGGCTAAAAAGGGCACTTATTGTCTTCAATAATGGCCAACAGGACAAGGTGGTGTTTACCACTAAGGGATTTTTGGGTAAACAATTATTGGTACTATGTCTATTCATTAGCTTTGTAAAGTTTGTATGGAGCAAGGTAATACGCTAAATATTGACCATTTAACTGGCTTCAATATACAAAAACACTTCAGGAATGCAGATCTTCTAAACATTGAAGAGTCACATAACAGATAAGTACTCATTTGGTTGATTGCCAACAACAGATAATCACCTATTGTGTCACATTACAAAACAAACAATGATCAGTTTATACTGCATAGAAAATACATATTGCTGGTCAAAAGGTTTGCAAAATTCTATAATCTCATTTTGGCTTTGTACTGAATTAATTTCAAAGCTTCCCAGTGACTTAAATTGTATTTGATTGGCTGCTTTGAAAAAGTATCTATATAGAGGTGTAAGGTTTAAATTAATCAATTTGAAATTCTTGAATAAAAGTTTGCATGCATAATCCAAATACCGTACCGGTACATCAGAATAAAAAGAGCATAATTAGACCATACAATTTATTTTGTCTTTTCTCTCACATTCCTTTTAATATAACTTTTCTTTTGTCTGTTTCAGGTGAAGTTTGGTACTAAGGATTTACCTAATGAGCTGCTACATTCTTTGACACCATAGTTCTATTTGAATCAAATTTATATGTTAGAAAATTGCCGTTAGTTCATGCTTTGTTTGCTGTTTCAATTCATGAATAACTTTTGTCTAGCCAACTAATTATTGTCTGTTATGGATAGCACAGAAAGCAAAACCACTGCACAGCACACACAAATCGATGTAAGTCTAATGTCGTGTAAGTCTGATGTAGTAGTACTTTCAATTAGTGAGTGGAGAGCATGTAAGCTACAATACATTTTAATTGTTGTAGGTACTAAAAATCTATGTTATACTCATGCTGTAAAATCTATATACCGGTATTTGCATACCTATGCATGTGCAATGGATTCACTGAATGACTTAATTAATTTAATTAATTTATTTTTATATAATTCATATAATTTATATATAAATAGATAATTTAACACAATATAAAAAGGACATGTATAAGGATATGGTATATAAGCTCTAAGGATATTATGCATCTAGCAAGAAACTCTTAATAGTCATCCAGAAATTTTCTATGTAACTAACTTATTTGCTTTCTGAGAAGTTATGTTTACTGAGAAGCTATGTTCATACTGAATTTTTTCACTTTTCCCAACTTGCTGTACAATTTCACTAAAAAGTCTTTCTACTGCATATCCATGTACGTATATACCTAGGGACCTAATTCATTACTTGTGTCTAAATAGCCTAAAATTTCTGTTGAATCAAATCCAATTATAATTTAAATCACTCCTTCAACTTATTTTGATCATTTTTTCTGATGTTATTGTTATTTAATAGGATTTGAGCTTCACCGCCAGTGGCAGCCGGGATAACAATTTGCCTGACAGCGATGAAGTCGTCGGTGGTCTTGCAGGAGCTAATTCCTTATCTAGCTCAGCCTCCTCGCCTGCTGGCAGGCTATGGCCAGCCACTTCCTCTCCAGCAGATAATGTAGCTCATCAAAATAACAGCTCCTCTCCTGTGGGAGAAGAGCAAGAATTCACTACTTATCAGGAAGATGAAAAAATTGCTGTACCCCAGGCTGATGTAAGCATTTACTTTAGTTATTAGTATACCTATATTCTTTTTTAGTTTACTGGTTTTTGAAGTATTCTTCCTATGTAATTTTTATTTGAGTGCCAAGTTTAAAGTGGCTTTGATTGGTCATTGAATCATTGCATTACATAAAAATTTTGCAGCAACAAACTGAACTAAACTGAAATATTTCCTTCATAGTTTGAATTAAACAACCATTTTTCACAGATGCTGCCATATAGGGAGAAGGCAATTACCATTTTAAAATAGAAGTACTATAAACCAAAATTTTTGTGCATTTTTCAGGGCATATTCAGCTTCAGAAAGCTTTGGGCATTCACTGGGCCTGGCTTCCTAATGAGCATTGCTTACCTGGACCCTGGCAACATCGAGAGTGACTTGCAGAGTGGAACTATTGCTGGCTTCAGTGTGAGGATCAATTAAATTTCTACTTGAAACTTTTGTCCTATTAATCTAATTTGTAATTTCATTTCACATAATATTTCATATATATGGGTTGAATAATTTGAAAATTTTAAAGTACAACTTATTCATAGGATTTGAATTTCAAAATGATTGATTTCATGAGAAGGTACCGGTACTCTCAGAACTGGTAACACTTTTTCCTGCTGTTCCATCTCTCTTCATATTTTTATTTATTTTCCTAGAAGAAGCTCAGGTCGGTATGTTTTGATTAATTTGTTGACTGTTAATAATATTCCCTAATGACATGATGGTTATGTTCATGACTGAATATCATGATTGTTATATTAATAACCTAACGTATTATAAACCTAATGACATGATGGTAATATTCATAACCTAATCCCATGATTGTTATAATAACCTAACGTATTATTAACCTAATGACATGATGGTAATGTTGATGACCTAATCCCATGATTGTTATATTAATAACGTAATGACATGATGGTTATATTAATAACCTAACAATGTGATGTTATATTAATAACCTAATGACATGATTGTTATATTAATAATAACGGTAAAAAACCTAATGACACAATTGCTATATTAATAACCTAATGACATGATTGTTATAATAATAACCTAATGACATGATGGTAATGTTGATGACCTAATGACATGATTTTTATATTAATAACCTAATGACATGATGGTAATGTTGATGACCTAATATCATGATTGTTATAATAATAAGCTAATACCATGATGATGTTTTAGTTGCTGTGGGTGCTGATGTGGGCGACGGTGCTCGGTCTCCTCATGCAGCGCCTGGCCGTCAGACTCGGCACTGTCACGGGGCTGCATCTTGCAGAGGTGAATTTATCTCACTAAATTCAATCTGAATTTGGCTGTAATGTTCTTTTATCAAGTATTCATGTAATATACATACAAAAATGTACGTATTTATTGAACAATAAGTATAACTGAAGATGCACCTGCTTGTTGTACTAGTCACTATTTCATTTCTCAAAGTTTATTTTTTTCTTCAGGTTCTGAGTTGTCAAATTCATCTAAAATAGCCGAAGAAATTCCATGTATGTTGCCCAAATTTATTGGTGAATCTCTCATATACAATTTTTTGAAATAAAAAATAACGACTGTATTTTTGTTACCGTAGCATTACTAAAGGCATAGTATCCCATGACTAAACTTAATGTCTATTTTTACAACACTTCTCTTTAACTTCACTTCTTGTCTGTCTGTCTGTCTGTCTGTCTGCTACAAATCTTGTAATCGAAATTTAATACACTTCTACTTTTCCTATGGATCTGAAATTTTGCATACTTGTGTGAAGTCGGAGGCAATGCACGAATCAATTAACATAATAAATAATTTTGAAAAAAATTTATATATTACAAAAAATTTACATATATTTAAAAAATTGAGAAGGTTATTTTTTAATTTTCGAAAATTAGATGAGAAATTCTTTGTACTGTGTACATTTGTAAGATTGGAGATACTGGATTCTTTGGAAGTGTTGTCTTTAAAAAGTAGTTTTTAAATGTATATTATTCCAATATCACTTGTGCAAGCAAAGAAATAAAATGAATAAAAATGAATCAAAGAATATATTTCTTCATGCCACTATTTAATTTTCCTGGCATGGAAAAGATGACGTCACCACACTATGTCATGCTAACTACATTAACTATTGTGCAAGTCAAGCAAGAGCAACATTCTTGTCATGCCAACTCTGTAGACATATTTTGAATGACATTTTACCATTATATGCCTTCTACTTTAAAAGTAAATTTTCTCAATCACATTTCAGAAATGAATTCTTCCAAATGGCCTGAAAAAAATGTACTCGTGCTTTATAGCACAAATTTATTTGCAATAAGTAGGTATATATTATTTAATAGTATACAATATAAAATATGTTATGCATATTATTATAGATATAACAATATTATCTGCTTAGTAAAATTCTGGTCTGAATGTGCTCATGCTTTGTAAATTTAATGCATGTTTATCTTGTAAAATCTCGATACTTACAGTTTTTTTCAGCTAAACCTCTTATACATTAAAGCTCAAGATTCATTTTCTTTGATTTGTTTGAAGACATTTTATATGGGCTTTTGGTGCGCTCTTGATAGGGTTTAATGTTTTTATTCTACATAGCTTCAAATGTTCTTATTCTTCATGGTTTTAAACATTATTAAGGTTGTTCATGTTTATAAATGAAGCTGTACGGTAGAGAGTCTTTGATTAGCAATCTTGATTGATATTCAGGCGCTCTCAAGTGTTATTTACATGACTCATGTTTCTGTTTAAAGTTTGATGTGATTAACACATTTTTGATGTTATGGTTAGAATTTTTCCATGCAGGCTTGATTGGAATTCATTATCTTTATTATTATTTGGTAATTAAACATATTGTTTAGCCATCTATGTTCTGTGCATCTTGAATAAATTCCTCACCTCTTACTCATTATATATACTATATAGGTATATATATAACATGCCATAGCACCTTCGCACATTTTTTTGTTTGTTTTCCAGCGTCTACATATGTTTGCGCTTGATTTTAATCTTTTCTAATTTTGACCATTTTATTGTTTGGGATGCATTTGTATTCAGTATTCCGCTGTGGGGCGCCATTCTCAGCACAATATTTCATATCTTCAGCAGTATTTGTTGAGCGTAAAGTCTTGTTTATAATATCTTGTTCTGTTCAGGTTTAATTTACATCTTTCTTCATGTTCAGTATCCCGCTGGGGGGCGGTGTTCTCATCACAATCTTTCTTATCTTCGACAGTACCTATTTGTTGAGCGTAAACTCTTGTTTATGATATGTTCTTCTGTTCATCTTTAATTTACATCTTTCTTCATGTTCAGTATCCCGCTGTGGGGCGGTGTTCTCATCACCATAGCGGACACGTTCACATTCCTCGCGCTGGACCGCTATGGCCTGCGTAAGCTCGAGCTTTTCTTCGGGATTCTCATCTCTGTGATGGCCGTCACCTTCGGGTACGAGTATGGCGTCGTCGCGCCCAACCAGGTGTGTGTATAATTGTTATTCTCTCATTAATTAGGTATATAATGCGTTCATTTTTAAGAATTATGTTTTGTTTTGTTCGTAATCCTAATATAATTATAATTCTCTCATTAATCATATAATGCGTTTATTAAGAATTATGTTTGGTTTTGTTCGTAATCCTAATATAATTATAATTCTCTCATTAATCATATACCAGTAATGCATTCATTTAGAATTATTGCAGTTTTGTTGGTACTCCTCATACCTATGCCAGTAATATATTTCTTAGGTTCAACCTGAATTATTGCTGTAGTTGAGTCTCACGCTGATAAATGAGTGGTTCTTTGTCCAAATACCTAGCCATGCACTTTTTCCTCTCTTGTGGGTCATCCTAAACCTGTTTGCCCTGGCATAAAATATATCAGTGCTGTGTGTTCTCTTTGCTTACCCGCTGTGTAAGAAACTGTGTCAGTACCATTTGGCCAATTTGTCTCATTCATTTTTTGAGTGTTGGTTTGAGCTTTTGACGTGACTGCATCTTTAAATTAAATTATGGCAACGCTCGATCTAATCAAAGATTACTTGCCATTAACGAATAATTTTTGTTTATGAAATTTGAAACAAATTTGTTTATTTAAAGTGTATAGCGTTTAATGTATCGTAAGGTAAAGTATATGTATATATCTGTGAATTGAATTTATAGTGAATGAACTGGAGGTTTCCACAGTAATTTGGGTATCAAAAGCATCACATAGTATTGCAGTAGGCATTATTTGCTCTTTAAATTGCATTTTTCACGTTCAATTACCATTCCATTTCCCCCAAAAAATTCATTCACATAAATCTTAAAAACATAAATTTCCACAAACCTGACAAAGAAATCAATATCGTCGTTTTCCTAAAAAAATTCACGTATATCCCAAAAAACATAAATTCCTATGAACTTAAGACAAAAAAATCAATATCTTCATGACGTATTTTTTGGCAGGCGTCGGTGATGTCGGGCCTGTTCATCCCGGGGTGTCGGGACTGCGAGCCCGGGGCCGTCCTGCAGGCCGTGGGCATCATTGGGGCCGTCATCATGCCCCATAACCTGTACCTGCACAGCGCCCTGGTCAAGGTAATGACCTGTACCTGCACAGCGCCCTGGTCAAGGTGATGACCTGTACCTGCACAGCGCCCTGGTCAAGGTGATGACCTGTACCTGCACAGCGCCCTGGTCAAGGTAATGACCTGTACCTGCACAGCGCCCTGGTCAAGGAAGCCAACAAGTATTAACGTGTGTCCTTCTTGTCCTCCGACAGTCGCGGGTGGTGGACAGGAGCAAGAAGGAGGAGGTCAAGGAGGCCAACAAGTACTACATGATCGAGTCCTGCATCGCGCTGCTCGTGTCCTTCATCATCAACGTGTTCGTGGTGTCCGTCTTCGCTGAAGGACTGCACAGCAAAACCAACCAGCAAGTTGTCAGTAATTTTTTTTATTCGTATTCACGCTTCTCTATAGTTTCTTTAAGTATCTTGAAGTTTACCACTTTTCAGCTGTTTTAAAGGCAGGAATTGTTTATAATTGTTATAATATAATAATATATGTGTCTATGTATACTAAATTAAATATTTGTTGTATTAGTTTCTAGTGCCTCAGATAAAATTAAGGAAAGTCTCAATCTGAAATTCCGAAATTTCTATTTGATGTTCTAACAAATCTTGTAGTTTATCATGTCACACGCAATTAATTTTAGAGCAGAACTTGTTAATTAATATTTAATGAAGGGTTTAATTAATGGAAAAAAAATTGTTCACCCCCCAGCACGACATTTGTGTTGCCGCCGGCAGCGAGGATGCCGACATTTTCCCTGCCGTGAGTTTCTTCCTGCATCTTAACGGGCTAAAATATAACTTAAGTTGTATTTATTTCAAATAGAGTGAGTGCATCGCAAATCTTTACAATAAGTCATAATGGTTCGTTTCTTTATTAAGAGGTGCTCGTGCCTTTGATACAATGAAAGTAAGGCTCACTTGTGTTTCAAATAATATTTTAAGAGTACGTATGGTAGATGTATCATTATGCTGTAGCCTGATGTGTTCGAGGTTCTCGGAACAACCTTGCGCAAATACATACCGTAGTGGGTATGTGTATCTATAACGTGTAATATATATACCTAATTTATTTCCCGGATTTGTATATGTTCAAATACGGCGTTCAGAATACCGTAGCTCTGAACGTGCCCACAAACGTGCACGATATAAGCGTATCATCTTTGATGATATGCTATAATGCTAAATGATGTTTTATGTGATTTTGACGTGTTGCTGTTGGGCTCATGTATTATTAGAAATGCGTGTTTGTTGTTCGAAAAACAATTTTGTTTATAAATATTGTTCCGTACCATGTGATTGTTGTGTCGTATCATGTGATGATTGTCATCATTATTGGATGATTGTGTCATCATGTGATGATTGTTTTATCATGTGATAATTGTATCTTAATCATGTGATGATTGTATCATCATGGGATGATTGTATCATCATGGGATGATTGTATCATCATGTGATGACTGCAGAACAGCACAGAGCTGGTGGAGGCAGACATCTACAACAGCGGGGTGTTCCTGGGCTGCGCGTTCGGCGCGGCCTGCCTACCCTGACGGGTACCGGTACCTATGTTGGCCAGTTCGCCATGGAGGTGCGTGATGAAAATTATATGATAGAATACTGTACAATATACCTAATAAACTTGATACGTTACAGACACTGTAGAATATAGTACACTGCATTTCATTATAATACTACACAAAACACTCTTTTTGCTCCACAATGATGGAAACCTATGTTGGCCAGTTCGCTATGGAGGTGCGTTACAAATATTATATAATTGAATACCGTACAATATAATAAACTTAATACAGATACGGTAGAATATAATACACTGCATTTGAATACAATACACTTGATCACCCTTCTCGCTCGACTCTGATGGGTACCAATGTTGGCCAGTTCGCTACGGAGGTGCGTGATAAATATTATATACCGTAATTGAATACTGTACACTATAATACACTTGATACAAATACTGTAGAATATAACGTAGTACTCATGTCAATATAGTATTTGTACTACATTTCGAAACAATACACTTGAACACCCTCTTCACTCTACCCTGATAGGTACCGACTACCTATGTTGGCTAGTTTGCCATTTATGTGCATGCTCCCCACAAATACGCCATGAATATGGAATGTGCAACTATATATAAAATGCTATTTGACTTTGTTGAAAATCTCAAGCCATATGTCGCGCTCCATATGTTGGAAGCCATAAAGTTAAGTTTAAATTACGTTATCATAGTTTACACTTGTGTCGAACGCAATAATTTCCCAAATTGAGGTTTAGCAGATAAGGTATTTTGTTCCTTTAAAGAGGATATTACAAGGAAAGAACACGAGATTGCTGCGTCTCTGTTGCAAAATATATACGTGAAAGATTTTGTAAATCCTATCAATCTTGTTTCATGATTAAATTATTTAACCTGTTCTTCTTTGTATTTAAGTCTCAAAATATTTAGTCTGTTCAATGCTTTAAAATAATCTTTTATATTCTTCAGGGCTTCTTGAACCTGCGATGGAAGCGATGGCAGCGAGTGTTGTTCACCCGAGTCATTGCCATCACTCCGACCTTCTTCATTGCCTTCTACCAGGTAGAAATTGTTAATTATAAATTTTTAAACATTATATAATAATAACATCTCATTCCCCTATTCTAGTTGCTCCATATACAACACGTACCTACTTGTCCGCTTCTCATTAATACATTTGACCTGAATGGAGTTCATGTGTTGACTTCAGATATATCTATAATTATTTCATATATTTATAATTATTATTGAAATTATTCATTAAAGTAAGTTGTAGTATTTTTAAATTTGTCAGGTTTGATGAGAAGATGGAAATACTTATTTCAATTGTTATCATTCATTTATCGGTATTATTAATCAATTATTTCGTAGATTTTGTAGTTTTCAGATTAAGATTTTATTTGAGAATTTGCAGCAAATGCCTGTTCGTCATAACTTGATTTCTATGTCAATATTTGCTTGATCGATCGTCTGTTATTTTTTATCTTTTTTTTTTTGCTGGCTGAACATCGAGAAAATAACGATTACGAGTGACGTGTTGAAAGCGTATTTTCTTTTTGTTGTTTAATAATTTTTCTCGTTGAATAATTTTTTTGTAAGAGAAAAAAATTTGTCTTTCCAGTAAGTTGAGAACCTGTTCGCATTTTATTCTCCTCTATTTATTTTCATTGGATACATTATCTTCTCACCGTTAGCATAATTTTCTCTATCAAACGTTGAGAACCATCTTTTCTTCCTAATTTTTTTCTTATTTTCGCTGGATATTTTTTCTTCTTACCGTTAACATATTTTTCTCTATGAAACGTTGAGAACCATGTTTTCTTCATATTATTTTTTTCATTTTTACGGTATATTTTCTTCTCACCGTTAATGTAATTTTCCATTTACAGGACGTTGAGAACTTGTCCAACCTGAACGACTCTCTCAACGCTGTAATGTCGCTCCAGCTTCCTTTTGCGCTGCTACCAACCATAACCTTCACGTCCTCCACCAAGATTATGGGACAATTTGCTAATGGAGTGTTAGTACATTAAACTCATACTCAATATATCTCATCATATAGCCATCCCTATTCTCGCTTTGTTAGAATTGGCATCATATTTACATTACTATTTTTACTTTGTTTGTATTATATATACCTGATTATTTAAGGATAGTATCACTTAACATTCGATATCTTTTGGTTAGGTACTTTTGTTGAAACGCATTCAACTGTATCAAATTTAAATTCTTTCATTAAAACTATTCGATAATATTCTTAGTATGAATGCTGATAAGTATAACCATTGATTATTTCAGTTAACTGTTTTTCATCTGAGGTGGAAAACAGGTTAACCAATGTTGGTAATGCTGGTTAACCTGGTCGGTAATACTGGTGAACCTAATCGACTGGTTCGTTGTTGGCAATAACATACCTAGCATACAAACGCATGTTATTCACTGCTCTCAAAAGAGAGCAATCGAAGCCATGATCGAGGAAATGCAGCTGGAATATCTAAGCAATGGTTTAAATAGATTGGTAGATTCAAATTATATAAATGTATAAATATAAATTTACTGCCGTCTGGTCCTTACCGGTCAGTCAAAGTAGATTAAAAAAACTGCAATATCAGAACAATTATCGTAGATTCTGGAAAAACTCGTCGAATGTTCAAGCAATGATCGTAGATTAAAAAAACTATAATGTTCTGCGATCTTAACTTGCTAACTGAGAACCTCTGATGCACAGGTTCATGAAAGTGTTGTCGGTGTTGCTGGCTGTGGTGGTGATCTCGATCAACCTGTGGTTCGTTGTGTCCGCCATCCATACGGGACTGAAGGGCTTCTGGTGGCAATACCTCATCATCGCGGTGCTCGCCACCTTCTACTTCGCCCTCATCGCCTACCTCGTCATCTTCCTTGTTTACGCCTTCGGCTTCACTGCCGTCAGGTCCATACCGGTCAGTCTGTCCTCGGTTCTTTTATTAGTATTAATTTAACTAAAATTGAAGTAATTCTATTATTTAATTATTATTTTATTGTAATTTAAATTACATTAGGTATAGGTAATGTAATTTGGCATCTTCCTTGTGTATGCCTTCGGCTTCACTGCCGTCAGGTTCATACCGGTCAGTTTCTCTTAAATCTCTTTTTTTATTACCTATTAATTATCAAAAAATAAATAAGTTATTATTATATATTTCCTCTTGAGAAGAAGAAACGGAGTGTTTGTACAACTCTTCAGTCAATGACACACAAGGATTCACTCAGCACAGACCGGTACTGCACTTCCATCGCCGCTCATTACTAAGAAAAACGAATGATAGTGGCCAGAATTACGATTTTAGTCTTCGATTACCACATATTAAGTACGAATGAATTTTTTATATATGATGGCAGGTAACGATATCGTGTTAATTCGCTCTAAGTCTGGGCTGAACACTGTAACCTTTTTCTATTGGTTGCCTTACGCACTTGATTAGGTAGTTGTGCGAAATTTTCTTTCATGTATATATAATGATTAAACGATTATTCGATGGAGCCACGCCTTATCACTGTGTAGTGGTGACTTATTATATAGCTCGTGTAAAGTTCAAAACGTGTCCTCGTCAGAAACACTTTATTACCGTAATATGTGTCATTAATTTACGTGCTTATGGTCGTTATCAATTGGATTAATCAATTTCGTTTTTTATGCTTCAGAAGAAGAGTGTTTTGCGTGATTTCATGTTGGATTAAATTATGGCCGTTGTTGTTCTCTTGTTCTGGATTCGTGTGTGTGTTTTCTGTTTCTTGAGAGAGACTTTTAAAGGTTTACTGTCATGACGCTTTGGAATGCATCGAGCATAAAGTTTTAATGATGTTACACAAGAATTTTGAATCTCTGATATGAAGAAGACATGACACTTTGATATTAAATTTAATGATCTTTAAGAATACCTAATTATCGCTCATTTATATGGAGAAGTATACAATGTTAAACAAAAAATAAGGCTATTGGGAATGAAAATGCAATTTATTAGTGGTGTTGAACCATAATAATTTATTGTACGTATACAATAAACGCGTTGCTTGCCTGATGCCACCGGTTAGCTGGTGGGGCCCGCGCTGCCTGACGACACCCCGGACCTGTCGCTCATACCTGCCCCGGACCACCGCCCGGAGGAGTACGATCCATCATCCCTTTCTTTATGTTTCTGATCTTCTCGTAGCTATAATACTCTATGGTAGCTGTGTTACTATTGCTTTCTTTACTCACTCTATTTTGTATTTTATGTTTCTGATTTTCTCATAGCTATGATATTACATAGCTGTGTCACTATTGCTTTATTTACTCAGTCTCATCGCTTCTTTTATCTTTCTGATATTCTCATAGCTATGATATTCTATAGCTGTGTCACTACTGCTTTCTTTACTCACTCTTATTCTTGTATTTTTTGCTTCTGATGTTCTCATCGCTATAATATTCTTCTATAGCTGTATCACTATTGCTTTCTTTACTCACTGTTATTCTCGTATTTTATGCTCTTGATATTCTCATCGCTATAATATCCTACACATGAGCCGTATCAATACTCCTTTCATTACTTACCCTTATTCTTGTCTTTTATTCTTTTGATGTTCTGATTGCTGTATTATTCACCCTTTCTTCCTCTCTGTACTCACTCTTTATCGAGTTCGTTCTGCTGTAATATTCCTCATTCCTTCCTTTCTTTCTTTACTCACTCTTTGTCTTGTTCTTTCCACTGTATTATTCCTCATTCCTTCTTTTTTTCTTCACTCACTCCTCGTCTTGTTCGTTCCGCTTTCTTATTCATCATTCCTATCTTTCTTTCTATGCTCACTCTTTACCTTGTTTAAGATGTTTTTCATGTTCTCATAATTATCAATCTACTTTTGCTTCCATTATTTTCATCGATCAGTTCTCTCAGTTCTGTAGCTACTGTATTGTTCGTTCAATTATTTTATTTGTATTAAATTCTGGTATCAACGTGGTTCTCATTTTTGTTGATGTTTGCTATCTTTCTATTCTTATTAAAGTTATCTTGCTTTCTTATTTGCGCAGTTACGTTTAAAACTGCTCGTTTTCTTGTTCTTATATAATGGTGTTCATTTTTCGTTGCGTAGGTATGCTTGTACAATGAATTACGGTAGTTCAACCATTATTCCGATTTTAGCCCAAGTCTGTTATATTTCCAGTATGGTTGTGGACCATTGAACGATCACCGTGTGTTGCTGGAGGTATTCAATTATGAGCAATTATATGAAAATTATTGCTGATTATTATTAATTCTGTCCCATTTTCTTTAAGTGCATTTCTTGAATTACCCTGAGACAGTGAGGCCTGTGACTCAGTGAATTATAATGACAAACGTGATTCATTATTAACTGTGGTGTAAATATTAACAACTATTATTAGGTTTGCTTAATGGCATAGCAATTTTATAGTTGACTGTAGAAGCTGTGGTCTCTAGTTTTGAAGCTAATGTTATTTTACACGTTATAAATAACGTCATTGTAATGAGAGAAGAATAGTTACGGACAACTTAAAAGAAAAAGTAGCTAAATACATGAATGTTTCCACTAACACGCGCTCTATCTTTTATTAAATCTTTTATTTATTTCCTATGTTTTATAATAACTGATTTTTTATTTTTGATTTATGTCAATGATTTGTCTTTACTTAGTTATTTGATTAATTTTTAATGTAATTTTAATTATTTACCATACGGTATTTGTTATAGTTGATTTTTGTTTTCTATGTTATACTACGATAAAAAAAAATACCATACTAAATTTTTTGTTACATTAATTTTACAGGGAGCTGGTGCCAAACTTCCTACTAATTTTAGTTGCATTGCATTTGGGTTTCTTCTGTGTTTTTGACGCAGAAATCTCCTTTCGTACCCATAATAAATTTTTTTTTGCATTTAATGTGGCAAATATTTTTGCATGGTACTATTCAATTTTGAATGTCTAATAAGAACGCGGTATTTCTAAAAAATGGATGTTACTGTCGTGTAAAATGCCATCATGCTGATTATATTGCGAATATTTTCACAAATTTGAGTATGCGTATCTGAATACGTGATGAAGAAAAGCATGAGTGTATGTAATAGTGAGGTAATGTATGTAATACCTCACTATTTCTTGCCTGATAATCAAGTGTAGGTGAGGTATTTCTGTTACACCCGATAATGAAGTGTATAGTGACGTGTTCTTGCACTTGATGTAGTGAGATAGTGAAGTATATAGCGACGTGTCCCTGCACTTGATAGTGAGATAGTGAAGTGTAAAGTGACGTGTTCTTGCACTTGATATAGATAGCTAAATAGCTGAAGCGCCAGTAAATATGTGGCCACTAAACTAAACTAACTTGCATTTGATAGTGAAGTAAATAGTAATATTTGTGTTGCTGTGCAGTACATATCCGAGCATCTGAGTAACTACGACCTCAACCACTATGACACAGACTGGGACGACCGCCCGGCCACGTCTGCGACGGCCCTGCAGCCGTACGGGTGATTCCTTTGTTCTCCTGCCTCCGTTCCCTGTCCTCTGGCCCCGTCTCTTGTCCCCTGGCCTCCGTCCCCTGCCGTGTCCCCGGCTCCTGTCCTCTGCCTTTTCTTCTTGTCCCTGTCGCCTGTTCCCCATCCTCGCCCCCGTTTCCTGTCTCCTGCCCACGCCTCCATCCCCCTGTTTCTTGCCGTCGCCTCCAGCCCCTGGTCCTTGCCCTCGCCTCCATCCCCCTGTTTCTTGCCCTCGCCTCCATTTCCTGGTCCCCGCCCTCGCCTCCAGCCCCTGGTCCTTGCCCTCGCCTCCAGCCCCTGGTCCTTGCCCTCGCCTCCAGCCCCTGGTCCTTGCCCTCGCCTCCAGCCCCTGTTTCTTGCCCTCGCCTCCATTTCCTGGTCCCCGCCCTCGCCTCCAGCCCCTGGTCCTGCTGCGTTGTTGTGCTGTCCCTTCAGTGTTGTGCCTCTGTCTAGGCTCAATTGTGCCCCTGTCTAGGCTCAATTGTGCCCCTGTCTAGGCTCAATTGTGCCCCTGTCTAGGCTCAGTTGTACCCCTGTCTAGACTCAGTTGTGCCTCTGTCCAGGCTCAGTTGTACCCCTGTCTAGACTCAGTTGTGCCTCTGTCCAGGCACAGTTGTACCCCTGTCTAGGCTCAATTGTGCCCCAGTCTAGGCTCAATTGTGCCCCAGTCTAGGCTCAATTGAACCTCTGTCTAGGCTCATTTGTACCCCGGTCTAGGTTCAGTTGTACCCTGTCTGGGCTCAATTGTACCCCTGTCTAGGCTTAATTGTACCCCTGTCTAGGCTCAGTTGTGCCCCTGTCTAGGCTCAGTTGTGCCCCTGTCTAGGCTCAGTTGTACCCCTGTCTAGGCTCAGTTGTACCCCTGTCTAGGCTCAGTTGTACCCCTGTCTAGGCTCANTGATTGTATCTCATCACGTGATGATTATTTTATCATGGGATGATTGTATCTCATCACGTGATGATTATTTTATCATGGGATGATTGTATCTCATCACGTGATGATTATTTTATCATGGGATGATTGTATCTCATCACGTGATGATTATTTTATCATGGGATGATTGTATCTCATCACGTGATGATTATTTTATCATGGGATGATTGTATCTCATCACGTGATGATTATTTTATCATGGGATGATTGTATCTCATCACGTGATGATTATTTTATCATGGGATGATTGTATCTCATCACGTGATGATTATTTTATCATGGGATGATTGTATCTCATCACGTGATGATTATTTTATCATGGGATGATTGTATCTCATCACGTGATGATTATTTTATCATGGGATGATTGTATCTCATCACGTGATGATTATTTTATCATGGGATGATTGTATCTCATCACGTGATGATTATTTTATCATGGGATGATTGTATCTCATCACGTGATGATTATTTTATCATGGGATGATTGTATCTCATCACGTGATGATTATTTTATCATGGGATGATTGTATCTCATCACGTGATGATTATTTTATCATGGGATGATTGTATCTCATCACGTGATGATTATTTTATCATGGGATGATTGTATCTCATCACGTGATGATTATTTTATCATGGGATGATTGTATCTCATCACGTGATGATTATTTTATCATGGGATGATTGTATCTCATCACGTGATGATTATTTTATCATGGGATGATTGTATCTCATCACGTGATGATTATTTTATCATGGGATGATTGTATCTCATCACGTGATGATTATTTTATCATGGGATGATTGTATCTCATCACGTGATGATTATTTTATCATGTGATGACTGCAGAACAGCACCGAGCTGGTGGAGGCAGACATCTACAACAGCGGGGTGTTCCTGGGCTGCGCGTTCGGCGCGGCCTGCCTCTACATTTGGGGCGTGGGCATCCTGGCCGCCGGCCAGAGCTCCACCATGACGGGGACCTACGTCGGACAGTTCGCTATGGAGGTGCCTGATGAATATTATATGATAGAACACTGTATAATAGCATTTAATATAGCATTTGAATACAATACACTTGAACGCCCTTCTCGCTCCACCATGACGGGGACCTACGTCGGACAGTTCGCTATGGAGGTGCCTGATGAATATTGTATAATAGAATATAGTAGAATATAATAAACTTAATATAAATACTGTACAATATAATAAACTACATTTCAAAACAATACACTTAAACATCCTTTTCACTCTACCCTGACGGGTACCGGTACCTATGTTGGCCAGTTCGCTATGGAGGCGCGTCACAAATATTATATGATAGCATACTGTAGATGATTAATAGAATGTAACTGCAGAATATTATACACTACATTTGAATACAATACACTTGAACAACACCCTTCTCGCTAGTACCTATGTTGGCCAGTTCGCCATTTAGGTGCATGCGTCCCACAAGAACGCCCTGAAGAGGGAGTGTCTAATTACATTCGAACTATTATTTAAATTTGTTTGATAATCTTGAGCCATATGTCGCGTTCCATATCTTGGAAGCCATAAAGTTTAATTTAAATTACCTTATCATAGTTTACACTTGAATTGAACGTAATAATTTCGCATATTGAGGTTGAGGACAAACGGTATTTTGTTCTATTAAGGAGGATATTGCAAAAAATAGGCCTGAGATTGTTGAGTCTCATTTTGCTAAATATATGCGTGAAAGATTTTGTAAATCCAACCGATCTTGTTTCATGACTAAATTAGTTAACCTGTTCTTCCTTGTATTTAAGTCCCCAAATATTTAGTTTGTTCAGTGCTTTTAAAATAAACTTTCATATTCTTCAGGGCTTCTTAAACCTGCGATGGAAGCGATGGCAGCGAGTGTTGTTCACCCGAGTCATTGCCATCACTCCGACCTTCTTCATTGCCTTCTACCAGGTAGAAATTGTTAATTTCTTCTTAAAAATTGTTTAATAAATAGCATCTCATTCCCCTATTTTAGTTGCCCCTTATACACTTGTCCGCTCCCCACTATTACATTTGACTTGAATGCAGTTCATGTGTTGACCTCAGATGTAGTATATGTAATAACCTGTTTCACTTATGAAATTATTCATTAAAATAAGTTGTAATATTTTTAAATTTGTCAGTTTTGATGAGAAGATCGAAATCATTGTTCTTGATGATTTTGAACAGAATTTCTAGCTTTTAGGTGATAATATTAATTATTTCGTAGATTTTTCTTTCTATTATATTTGTTTGATTTCAGATCAAGATTTTATTCCAGAATTCGTAGAAAATGTTTGTTCTTCGTGACTTGATTTTTATGTCAAATATTTTCTTGATTGAACCTCTTATTTTTCATATTTTTTTATGGCTGTACATCGAGAAAGTGACTAACATGAGTGACGTGTTGGAGGCGTAGGTATTTTTTAGTTGTTTAATAATTTTTTCATTGAATAATTTTCTTCTCTTTGTTAAAATAAATCTGTCTTTGCAGGACGTTGAGAATCTTCACATTTTTTACATCTCTTTATTTTCTTTGGTTATATTCTCTTCTCACCGTTAACATGATTTTCTCTCTCCAACGTTGAGAACTTTTAGATGTTTTTTCATATAG